TGCACCTGGGTTCCCTTTTCTCTACATCCTCACCAGCACTTGTCCTTTGTAGATTTGTTGATGGCAGCCATTCTGGCAGGTGGCAGGTGATACCTCATTGTCATTTTAATTTGCATCTCTCTAATGATTAGCGCCTTTGAGCATTTATTAATTTGTCTCTTGGCCATCTCTATGTCCTCTTTGGGGAAGTATCTATTTAGGTCCTTTGCCCATTTTTAATTGGATATTTTGTCTCCTGTTTTTTAGTTGTATGAGTTCTTTATATATTTTGGAAATTGACCCTCTATCAGAGGTGCTATTGGCAAGTATGTTCTCCCATACAGTGGGTTCCCTTTTCATTTGGTTGATAGTTTCTTTTGCTGTGCAGACACTTTTTATTTTGATGTAGTCCCATTTATTTTTTCCTTTTTTCTCTTGCTTTGGCGATACATCAATAAAAATTCTGCTATGTGAGATGTCTGAGATTTTGTAGCCTATGGTGTCTTCCAGGATTTTCATGGTTTCACAACTTCCTATTAAGGATTTTATTCATTTTGGGTTTATTCTTATCTATGGTGTCAGTTGGTGGTCTACTTTAATTTTTTTGCATGTTCTTGTACCATTTTCTGAATGCAATTTACTGAAGAGACTTTATTCCATATTATGCTCTTGCCTCTTTTGTCAAATATTAATTGAGCATAATGGCTTCTGTTGACTTCTGGTCTCTGTTCTGTTCAGTTGATCTATATGCTTGTTCTTGTGCCAGTACCAGGTGATTTTGATCACAATGGCTTTGCAGTATTACTTGATACCCAGTATTGTGATCCCTCCTACTTTGATTTTTTTTTTTTTAAGATTGCCATGGCTATTCAGGTTCTTTCCTGGTTCCATATAAATTTTTGGTGTGTTTGTTCTAAATCTGTGAAAGATGTTGGTGGTATTTTATTAGGGATGGTGTTTAATCTATGGATTGCGATGGGTAGTATGAATATTTTAATGATGTTAATATCTTCAGTTTATGAGCATAATATATACTTCTACTTGTTTACATCTGTCTCTATTTCTTTTTTCAATGTCCTGCAGTTTTCTGAGAATAGGTCTTTTACCTCCTTGGTTAAGTCCATTTCTAGGTATTTTAATTTTTTGTTGTTGTTGCAATGGTAAATAAAATTTTTAAATTCAGTTTCTCTTTCTGAGAGTTCACTATAGGTGTATAGATGTGCCATTGATTTCTGGATGTTAATTTTTAATGCTGCTGCTTTGCTGAATTAAAATTTTAAATCTAGTAGCTTTTTGGAGGCATCTATAGGGTTCTCTACATAAAATATTATGCCATTTGCCTAATGACAGTTTCACTTTCTTCTTTCCAATTTGGATGCCTTTTATTTTTTCTCTCTCTCTAATTGCTGTGGCTAAAACTTTCAGTACTGTGTTGAATAGCAGTGGTGAAATGGGACATCCCTGTCTTGTACCTGTTCTTAATGGAAATTCTTTTTCTTTTTGCCTAGTGAGTGTGATGTTGGCCGTATGTTTTTCATATATGGCCTGTATTATGTTGAGGTTTGATCCTTCTATTCCCACTTTGCTGAGAGTTCTTATGGAACATGGGTGCTGGATTTTGTTGAATGCTTTTTCTGTGTCTATTGATATGGTCATATAATTTTTATTTTTCATTTTATTTATGTAATTTATCACATTTATTGAGTTGCGAATATTGTACCAGCCTTGCACTCTTGGGATAAATCTCACTTGACCATGTCATATGATCTTGTTAATATAAAACTGGATCCACTTTGCAAATATTTTGTTGAGGATTTTGGCATCTATGTTTACCAAAAATATTGACTTGTAATTTTCTTTCTTTGTATTCTTTTTATCCAGATTTTGAATTAGGGTATTGTTGGCCACATAAAAAGCTTGGAAGTCTTTCTTGCTCTTGAGCTTTTTGGAAAAGTTTGAGAAGGAGAGGTGTTCATCCTTCCTTGAAAGTTTGACAATTCTCCCCTGTGAAGCCATCCAGTCCAGGACTTTGGTTTGCTGGGAGTTATTTTATTGCTGCTTCATTTTCATTCATTGGTATTGGTTTATTCAGGATTTCTGATTCTTCCTAGTTCAGTTTTGGAAGATTGAATAATTCTTGGAATTTGTCCATTTTGCCTAGGTTGTCTAATTTGTTGGCATATAGTAGTTTGTAATATTTTCATACAATCTTTGTATTTCTGTGGTGTCAGTTGTTACTTCACTTCTTTCATTTCTGAGTTTATTTACTTGGGTCCTTGCTTCATTTTTTGGTGAGTGTGGCTAGTGGTTCATCAATCTTGTTTATCTTCTCAAAGAAACAGCTCTTGGTTTCATTGATCCTTTGTATCATTTTTGTAGTCTCTAGGTCATTTATTTCTCTCTGATATTTATTATTTCCTTCCTTCTACTCACTCTGGGCTTTTATTGTTGTTCTCTCTATCAATTTTTTAGTTGGAAATTTAGAAAGTTTATTAGAGATTTTCCTTATTTTGTGAGGTAGTCCTAGAGTGCTATGTACTTCCCTCTCAGGACTTCTTTGACTGTGTCCCATTGATTTGGGCTGTTGTGTGTTCATTTTCATTTGTTTCCAGAAAGTTTTGAATTTCTTCCTTGATCTCATTGGTAACTCATTCATTGTTTAATAACATGCTATTTTGCCTCCATGTGTTTGAATGTTTTTAGTGTTTTTATTTAGTTAATTTCCAGTTTCATGTCTTATAATCAAAGAATATGCTGAATGTGATTTAATTCTTTTGAATGTAGACAATTAGTTTGTGTATTAAAATGTGGTCTCTCTTTGAGACTGTCCCATGAGTACTTGCAAAAAAAAATTTATATGCTGCAGCTTTGGGGTGAAGTGTTCTGTAAATGTCAATTAAATCTATCTGATCTAGTGTGTCATTTAGGGTAACAATTTCTTTGTTGATGTTTTTGTCTGAAAGATCTAGCCAGTGATGTCAGTGGGGGTGTTAATGTCCC